TATTAACAAACAAACTAAATTGTTAATAAAATATTTTGTACTCGTTTAAACATAATGTTTGATGTAAAAAAAAAACCAATAAAAATAATTGTATAGCTGTACCTAATATGGTTGTTGTGTATTTTGATTTTTTACTTTTCATTAAAAATGTTTTCCGATCTAAACTCAAAGCAGACCGACCCACATATACATATTAATATTTTAATATATTTCTCTGGAATACTAATATTTAAATTTTACAATACATTAAAATATATTTAAGTTAATAAAAGAATAGTATTTGGTTTTCAATGGTTAGGAATTGAAAGAACCCTTCTATATTATACTTCCGTTTCGTTTTTATACTTCGAACAATGCAAATAAAGGTACCGTAGCTATTATTGTTTTTTTAAATAATTTTTTTTAAACATTGAAACTATGTAGAAAAAATATAAATTCTAGATATAGTGAATATAATAAGCAATATATTAGAGGTCTTCGAAAGAAAAATTCTAAGAAAGATTTTTGCACCATGGATGATCAAACCGGGTATTTGAGGAATAGACACAATAAAAAACTCTGGGACCTTTTTCAAGGCTCTAATATCACAAAAGAAGTCTCAGTTAAAAGACTGAAATGGGCAGGACAGCATGGAGAAAACAGAGATCAATAATAAGGACCACAATCGAAAATAACCCGACAGAAAAACGACCTTTGGGAAGACCTCGTTTCACATTGGAAGACTGTATATAGTTAGAAATTCGGAAGTGCTGGAACCTGGAGCACAAATGGAGAGAAGTAAAGGATGACTGAGCTTGACCCCCACCCCCCCCAAAAAAAGTAAGCAATATATTATTAATAATAATAATAATTTAATATTATCATTGCAATGCACATCAATAAAATATTATTTTTATTATTTTTTTCATTAAAATGTGCAATATAATATATTTTTTTTTTTTATTAAACGAAACTATCAGTGGCATCTGTGGCCAATACATTTTATATATATTCATACATTACATAATACTAAAATGTATAATACAAATAATAACATTTTAATATAATATTGTTCTGTAGACTAAATATTATATTTTGAGGGGATCCCACTACCTCTTTTTAGAGTAAAATAGATCTATACGCGTTCCAAACTCGTTAATTCCTATACTAATTTTGAAAACATATTTGAATTTATTATGAAGTCTATTTTGAATCTTTCGAATCAGAAAAATAAAAAAAAAAAATTTTAAAATTATTTATGTGCATTAAAATTTTTTTTTCTAAATTTCAAGTGAGGTATTTTCTTTTTAAGAATAATAAATTAAAAATGTAGCTCGAAGGATCCAAAGTTGATTGAACAACAAAACAAAATTTGTTTTCGAAATTATTTTTGGTGTAAAACTCAAGTCGGAATGTTGGAATTCGTTTAGGTCTATGATTTACAACATTTCGCCGTGAAATAAATTTGTTGTTACGCATAAGGTGACTTGTGCATGCGAGTGCGAGTGCTCAACGTTTATCTAGCTCGCCGTCAACTCACACTAATCATAATTTACTATACGCACACATGCACGCCACGCACGCACTGACTATACAGATTGTCTAAAAATTGTCTATACTCAAATCCTTAAAAACGGTCGGTATGGAATCCCCATTATTTTGGCGTAGGTATAAATAATACAATTTTATCGGTTGGTTAAAAAATCGAGAAATACGGATAAATAACACCGGTGTACCCGAATTGTCTATCCGTAACGCCGTGTGATCATAATTATATTACCTCCTACGGTACTTTATCAACGAGTACTCTATATGTAGTCATTATTGGTAAGTTTAAGAAGTCCCACTTGTATTTGTCGTCTTCGTCTTGAGAATAACGCACAATAATACAATATAGTAAGTCTACGTTCAACAGTACTCAATCTAACCTAATAATATACAATTGTAAGGTAAGAACGTCATAAAAATGATAATAGAACTAAAACTATAACTAACTATAATACTGTTTGTACAAAAAAAAAATTGATTGTTATTATTGAACCAAATATTAAATATTCAATAATCAAGTATTTGAATTGTAGCCACAAACATTTTAATTTAATTAATATCGACCTCGTTTTATACATGCTCAATAATGCTTTAATTTTTATTCGAAGCGAAATTAAATTTAAAAATCATAAAATTATACTTACGAAATAATCAATTAAATATATTTTATTGCTAAAAGATTTTGAACGTGGACATAAATTTAGGTTTAAGACTATAGTATCGTGTATAATAATATTATAAGTACGAGATAAATAATATTTTTTTGAAAATAAATTGTATTTTTTTAATGCCAATAACATATCATAATAATTGTATATATGCGGAGTCTGATTTTTTTTCTCAACCGAACAAAATATATATTCTCGGTCGTAATCCTCACCACTTGAAAAAGTTCAGGCACCCAACGCCAATACAAAATAATAATATATTATTTATATTTCACACGAGTAATAAAAAAAGTGTATTATCACTATACGCTTTCGTCACTATATTATATATTGGTCGAGAACTCTGTGAATATTTTTGTTGTAATTATTTCCGAGTTGGATGGTTTCCAATAAAGACACCGATACGCACTTTTATATGTGTCAAGATCGCCGTTCCTGTTCTGGTTAATTACGAAGAACAATAAATAATTGTATCATTTTAAAGTCACGAACTGGAAATTTTCATTTTTTTTTCTATTCCATACAAGTTGGGTACTAAAATTTATCTACCAATTATTACAATATGTTAGTGTTAAGTTGACGGTTATTGGTCTCTTCGGCACTTATTGGCTTCCGTCTGTCCCCCACCCCCGATTCGTGCGGCACATTCGAAGTATCGTGACGGTAATATTTTTAGTTTTAATTTTTAATATCCATCGGGGTATTCATACGGAGGCATTTAACTATATGTTTATTTCGGTAATACGAGCAAAGAGCGATTTCACGTAACACACGCACTCTGTTCGACCACCGATGTAATATTATAACGACGAGCTGTAATATTTTACCTACAGTCATCGGGTGACGAGAGAAATATTTTCCACTTGATGGTTATTGTACTGATTGTTATTACGCAATGTCGACGAGGGCCGATTAAAATTAAAATAAAAAAAAAATCGAAAAGGGAACTTTGATACTTTCCGATTAGGACGATTCGGTTACTCGTAATATTATTTTATTGGCAATTATTATTCACGCACCTATATATGACATTTTGCAGATATCACAAACGATATTATGTATATTATTTTATATCTATAATTCATTATTATTATATTAATATTTTTTCACGACATTCGTTTGCCATATTTATATAAGTATACCTGCCTACGTCATAATATATTGATCGTGAACTTAATGTTGCACTCGTGTGTTACGAACCTTCGACCGATTCAAATCGATACAATTGCTGGAACTAGAATATTAATAGGTCGAGGCTCGTCTGTTGGGAATTCAATCAAATTATATTAAGTACCTACTTAATTATACATTAAGACTCAAAATTGTACAACGCCATTATATTATATTATACTCACTATTATAGTCTAAGTCTTCACCAACATTCTCGGAGAGCGGACTCATTGTACTTTCTTATCAACTGTATTATTATAATACAATATGTGTCTTACCTTTTACCGGCTGCACGTGATGTAGCGGAACATCCATAAACTTGATTGTACGTTAAAGCTTAAAAGTTTACAACACCACAATATAATATTATATGTATACTCACTATTATAGTCTTAATCCACAATATCGGAGAGGGGTCGTTACACCACATATTGTTTCTTATAAACTGTATTATAAAATTAATCATAATATTATATATGTTTTAAAGTTTAATTCAATAAAAATAACCATGACGTTCATTTCATCTCTTTAGACTTCGACCACGGTTGAAACATACTGGTTATTGCATATCGACTCTGATTGTTATCATCAGAAACAAAATGGCTACGTAAATGGATATCACAAATATCAATTTTCCTGATCATCAAAAATACGCTGACAAAAGCTAACAAATTCAAAACCCCTCGCATGCGTACTTGATTATTATTGGCTCCCTTTAAGCTGCCATTTTTTTTTATCATCAAATATTTGATTGAGAAGGGGTATATGCAATAACCTATTGTATATTTCAACCATTATGACTTCGACGATGATGAACAAACGACATAAACCATCAGAAGTTTGTACTTAATTGTACCTGCTGATGTGGCGTAGCGAAACAAAATTTGTATTAATTAAATTGTATATTTAATATATATACTTGATTGTACATTAAAACTTAGAAGCATACAACGACACCATACTATTATACTCCCTATATAGTCTTAACCCACATTCTATGAGAGCGGTCGTAATACTACTCATTGTTTCTTATCAACTGTATTGTTATAAATACATCTATATGAACAATAATATTTGTTTTAAAGTTTAACTCGATAAAAGTAACAGTTTCCTATGAAGTTCATTATATCTGTTTTGACGTCGACAAAGACGGCCAATCGACTCGCGCCATCAGCAATGTGTTCCAAATTTAACCCTCTGATGTGCTACAGCGTGACATTTTAGACACAAAGGCGGAAATGTTCACAGGTGTCGGAATGAATATATAGAGGAACAGGTGAAGTAAATAACGAACAAATACAAACGATTATTATAAGTTAACAATTAGCATATCTTTATTGGAAACATTAAAGAAGCTGAATTGTACAACGGGGTTAAAATTAATTTTAAATTAAAAGAATTTAGGTTGAATAACATAGTTATCATTATGATAATTAGTTTTCATATAAATAAAACATTGTTTTACACACTAATAAATACAGACAGGCCGCATGTGTGTCGCAAATGATGATGTAGATGTATGGTTGATGCTGCTGTTTGGTGTGTACGTGGTGTTTTATGATACATTTCGAAAAAAAATAAAAATATTGTAGTACATTTTTTTAAAAGTTTTATTACAAATAAGTTAAATTTTGTTTAGAAGTCGCCTTCTGGGTGGAGGTCGAATCTGGGTGGGAAGGCGAATCCGTCGAATTGTGGTTTAACGGGCGGCCTGTGTCCCTATAAAAGAAACAAATAAAACAAAAACACGTTTAAAAAATGTTTCATAATTGCCTGAACGCATGTCATACATTTAATATGAACAAATGTATTATTAATAAAAGTCTAGGTCGTGTGCGATAACTTTTATTGGATTGATCGTGCTACATGCATACAACAAAATATAAATAAAACATTAAACTCGTAACTGATAATAGATTTCATTTTTCAAATAACGTTAAACCAAAATCAGGTCTATGATAGTATAGCTAAATGGGCATTTTGTTAGGAATTAAAAATATTTATTTCACAAACATCTCGTATATGATTATTAACAATTAGAATTATTTCGTAATCGGAGTATTCAACACTAATATGATTAGAAATGTAAAATAGTCAAATGCAAGTTAGAATAGGACCGTATCAAGTCATGTTGATTGTGCGGCTAAAATCGGTGAAAAAACATTCTAACCGAGTACATGACTCGTCAACTACAAATCTAGTCTATCCGACTTACAAATAAATAAATAGATAGAATCAAGATTCTACTCCAATGGTAGCATCTTTCGTGGCTTTTGAGGCTGGAATAATAATGATTCTATTAGCTCGCTATATGAATAACGCGCAACAATGTATCGTACAATTGAGACAAATAGGAAGTATGACATCAATTTTATTTTAAAATTATGTAAACAAATTAAATATAGTTCAGAAAGTGATTGGTGTTCATCATCTCAATTTTACGATACATCGAACTTTTTTTCTAGTGAACACGTCATTTAACGTGAGTCAATTAAGTCGAATGAACATGTACAAATCGCCATGTATAATTACGTGTCGTCATAAAAATGTATAATTATAGATTTTTAATTATTAAATGTGAGAAACACTTACAATTGGGCTTCCGCCTCGTGCTGTAGATCCTGATCTGCCCTTTGTTCTGAACTTTGCAATTGCTTGTTCAGCTAGATCGGCTCTTTCTTCAGCCTCTTCCAGCTCTTGTTGGGCCTTACGGAACTTAGCCAAGTTGAGTGCGGCAATTTCTTCGGCCTCTTCGATCTGTCTCTTGTATGTCTTGATCTTTTGTTGCAGTTTGTCAACCAAGTCTTGCATGCGCTCATGGTTCTTTCTGTCTTCGTCTCCTTGGAAGCTCAACTCCTTAATTCTACGCTCAGATTTTCTTAGGTTCTTTTGCGCATCGGCGTGTCTGCGTTGTTCACCATCCAACTCATTCTCCAATTCTCGTACCCTTTGTTCGAGTTTCTGAATTGCTTTCTTACCACCCTTCAATGCATTATTTTCAGCTTCATCTAATCTTACCTAAAAATATTAAATAAGTTTTAATAATAATGACATCATAGTTTAAGAAGTATAACAGTACATTAATAATAAAAATAATTTAATCATGCTTACTTGTAATTCCTTGATTTGTGTTTCAAGAGCTTTCCTAAGTTTTTCTTGGGTTTGTGCGTGGTCTTGTTCGGCTCTGAGTTCATCGGCAAGTCTGGCAGCGTCTACCATTGCCTTCTTGGCCTTTTCTTCGGAGTTCTTGGCTTCATTCAATAACTCGTCTAAGTCAGACTGTATACAAATAAATACATTATTAATAAACATTACACATGGAAAATATTCAATTTATGTTATAATATTACATGTAAGGTTTGTAGTTCTCCTTCCAGTTTCCTCTTGGCAGCAGAAATGGAGGTAGCCTGTGCGGAAAGTTCATTGAGCTGTTCATGAGCATCAGCCAATTCTTGTTCAACTTGTCTCCTGCCACGGTCAGATTGTTCCAATAAGGTTCTGGATTCTTCCACTTCGTTTTGTAATGCGTTCGCTCGTCTTTCGGAGATTCCCAACTGTTCTCTGGCATCTTCTCTAGCTCTAGATTCTTCTTCTAGAGCAGTTTGTACATCCTTCAATTGTTGTTGATAACGCTTAATGTTCTTTTGGGCTTCAGCATTAGCTTTGTTAGCGTGGTCTAAAGCGATTTCAAGTTCATTGATGTCAGCTTCCAACTTCTTCTTCATTCTAAGAGCTTCAGCCTTTCCTTTAGCTTCAGCTTCCAAGCTAGCTTGCATAGAGTCTAAAGCACGTTGGTGGTTTTTCCTAAAACAATTTAGGTTGTATGCGTTATGTACATTTTAAAACTTTCAAATCCTACTTATATATAATTTCAGTATTGCATCCAATGATAATTAAAGTATATAAAGATATTCATAATTTCTAGAATCATTTTGCTAGGTATAAATATTTCAACGATTTTATTTTACCTGGTATTTTCGAATTCCTCTTCTTTTTCTTGGATACGTCTGTCAATTTCTTGTCTAACTTGAGACAGTTCCAATTGTGCTCTCAATACTTTGTTCTCTTCCTGTTCTAATGCTGCTTCAGCTTCTTCTAATGCAGCCTGGAGTTCATCCTTCTCAACTTCCAATCGTTTGCGTTGTTTTTCAATTTCATGGATGTTTCTGCCACCTTCACCAATTTGATCAAGAAGATCCTTGACTTCATCTATTCAAATCAAAATAGTATTAATATTAGACATTAACATAAAACATTACACATTTAAATAAAGTATAAAACTTACCGGCTAGATTCTTGTTTTCACGTCTGACTCCTTCCAATTGTTCTTGAGCTTCTTCATAGGCTCCCTTAAGACGGAAGAGTTCAGTGGAATAGTTTCTGCATTCTTTCTGGCTTGCATCTAATTCAGCTGCTAAGTCATCAACCTTGAGTTTCCATTCTCCAATGATCTTGTCAATGGCCTTGGCCTTCTTTTCAGCAGCATTAGCAATTGCTGTCGCTCTGTCGACTTCCAATTGTAAGTCTTCGACTTCAGTGGCCAAACGTTGTTTCGTTTTCTCTAAAGCAATAACCTTTTGGTTGAGTGACTCGATGGTCTCTTCAGCTTCAGCGAGACGAGCTTGCAATTTGCGTCTAAGAAAATAAAAGTTTTGCGATTAGTATAGATATTAGATTTAAAAATACTATAATATGTCTACATGGGTTTTAAATGCATTACATAGTATATTTTATTTTTGCTAATGTGAATAGGAGAATACTTACTTAGCTTCTTCAAGTTCTTCAACTCTGGCAATACCTTCAGATTCATATTTGGTACGCCATAATTGAACTTCAGCATTAGCCTTGCTCAATTGTCTTTGAATGTCAGCCTTAGCTTCAGCTTCTTCTTCTAATTGTTCACGAATGTTGTCAATATCGTGTTCCAAGTTTCTGAATTTACCCAAAAGTGTAGCGCGTTCCTAAATAAAATTGAATATTATCCATTAATATTATAAGTAAAATCGCAATAAGTTTTTATATAAAAATATTTACCCTTCCTTCTTCATCAGCCAGTCTCTTAGTATCTTCGAGTTGGGTGGTGAGGGAAATCTTGATCTTAGCCAACTGAGAAACCTGTGATTCGGCTTCTTCCAATTGACGAAGTAAGTCTGAGTTTTCAATGCTCAACTTCTTCTTGGCAGCATCAAAGTCATTCAATGTGCGGTTGGTTTCATCAAGTTTACCTTGAACTTCGTTCAACTGGTGTTGTACTTGTTTGTAGATCTTTTCAGTCTGGGCCTAATATTATAAATCCGAAATAAATTAGAATCTAATCATACATTATTTATAGAACAGAAAATGAACACAAACACGAAACAATTATTTGAACACATTTTACAAGTATTAGTACATATTGGAATAAGACATCATCATACATTTAGAACGCACACTTTAAATCTAAGTCACAGAAAACGTGTTACTCATCATATTTTAACTGGAACATAAGTATTTTAAACAGTCGTTACTAAATTCTATGTTTATAAAATATGTTAGTAACTCATGATAAAAACATTGTATTATTTTGACTATTTAAAATGTAATATTATAATATTTGCCTGCTAAAATGACGACTTTTAAAACTTTCAACAGCGAAGCTTCTATTACATACATAAAGTTAAGTGCGAAAATAAATTTAAAGATTTATTAATTTGAAGCGAATTTTTTTTTAAAATTATTATTCGATTGTTCTTTTTGCCAAAGCAGTACATCATTTGTTTTTTTTCAACCAACCTTTTCGTTAGAAATGTGGTCTAAGCTTGCACGTGTGTCATTCAATTCACACAAGAACTGGCATTTATCCTTCTCAGCTCTAATAATCAATACAACATTATTTTTATTTACATTTTAAACTACCGTTGAATTTAAAAATAAATATTATGTTTATATATTAATATATTTCAGATTCATCACTTTAAACTGACCAAGTTATATATTTAATTTCCTCTGTGGTACCTACTGATTATCTCATCAAGATCTTAATACACTAATTAAATAATAGATAAAAATTTATTTATTTTAAACAGGAATAAACATGCTTTCGAAGTTTGGTTTCATTGATTTACAAATGAGGATAAAACATGGACATGCAACATATATAAACACTGAACCTCAGTGTTTTTTCTACCTTTTCTCTAGATATTAAATCAACAGCAGCTCTAGTGTTGTTTAAGTCGTTGGCAAGATAATGCGAATGGTGCTCAGCCCTATTTTGATAAAATATACATTATTTTAAATCGCTAATACAACAATTTACATTAGACAGATAATATCAATAAATTAAAAAGTGATTTGATAATTAATAAAAACTTACTTTTTTCAATTACTTAGTGTATAATTTAATTTATTTAAGACTAATAAATTATTCTAGTGCTTGGAAGTTTAATTATTTAAAATTATTATTTCTAACGCTAAATGTCGTAACGATTATGTAGTTCAAATAATTTATAGATAAAACACCCATATATAATTAAATCATATCAGTATGGAATGTATATTATTCATTATTATAAAATTCAATTTATTAGCTGATATATAATTTTTTTAAATAGTAAAAATACGAAACTTACTTGGTCTTGAGTTTGTTCAACTGGTCGATTTGGTCACCCATCTCTGCAACAGCATCATTGTGCTTCTTGCGTAAGTTGGCTAAGGTAGCTTCGTGTTGAATGTTAGCTTCCTCCAAATCACGACGGAGTTTGCTCATCTCAGCTTCACGTTTCTTGTTCAACTCAATTTGAGCGGAAGTAGCACCACCAGCTTCTTCAAGGCGTTCGCCCAACTCTTCCAATTCACGGGCAAGATCAGCGCGTTGCTTCTCAGCCTATCAATAATATAAATATATATATATTGGTTAGTAAAAATGCATAATTTATATCAAATCATAAGACTAAATCGAAAAATATAAGCGTTATTTTTCAATTGTTATAAGTTGTTACCTTAGCGCGGGCTTGTCTTTCGGCTTCAACCTCTTCTTCGAGTTCTTCGATTCTCGACTGAAACGGGAATTACGAATATTAATTAAAAATTAAAAGTTACAATTAAGTAAAGTATCTAATATTATACTTTTCAAAATATAAAATAATATATTAAATCACTTACTTGAAGTTCTTTGATTTGTTTTTGTTGTTTGCCAACTAAAGCTTGTTCATCTTCAAGTTTAGCAGTAAGAGAAGCCAATTCCTTGTCTTTCCTTTGAATTGTTTGTTCAAGTTCTTTTTTGTTGCGTTCCAAATCAGAAACAGCTTCTTGGGTAAGTTTCAAGTCTCCTTCGGTCTTCCTCTTACCCTTTTCAATATCACCTCGTAATTTCTTTTCACGTTCTAACGAATCTTCCAACTCGTCCAAAGTTTGTTCCAACTTGTTCTTAACTTTGTTAAGATGGTTGATTTTGTCTTCAGCCGCCTATAATCAAATAATGAGCAATTGTTTAGTCAAATATATTCGATAAAAAAAATTGTAAATTAGGTATTAATCTTAAATGTTTAAACTGACCTGTAATTCTTCGGCAGTTTTCTGGGCGGTTTCACCAGACAATTTCTTTTCTTTGTTCAACTTGTTGATGAGTTCGTCTTGGTGAGCAATTTCATCATTCAAGTTGCGAATTTGGTGATCTTTGGATGCCTTATCTTGATCGGACTTTTGAATAGAAAGTTCCAAATCTTCGACATCTTTTTTGAGTCCTGCATTTTCTTGTTCCAATTTCTTTTTCTGTTGGAACAGTTGGTTACGCGCATCTTCTTCTTGGGTTAACCTCTCTTGAGTTTCCTATAATACATGTTGAATATTTTAGCAAGACGTACATTATTAACACATACATAAATTATTTAAATTTGTAGAATAGACGTAACAAATTTATGTTGTATGTCTACTGCATATAAAATTATATATACATATATATATATATGTTACGGTAAATGACGAAAAATAATAATTTACGTAATTTACCGGTAAATATCGTTAATATCCATTTTAAATTTATATGAGTAGATTTTTACGTCAATTACCGGGAATTTACGATAAAAAATTATACAAATGGTTATTGTTGTACTTGTATCATATATTATTATTAACTACTTATTTTCACATGGTAATGATCCAACAACATACAGGCCAGATGACACTGTCTACAATACTGTAGAGATGTGTTGTTCGCGAACGAACGGATCACATTGAACGGGTCAAAGTAGTGAACGAGACCGATCCGGATCGCCGAATGACTTGATTCTGGTCGCCAAATATTGTTCGTTTTTTTACATCTGAATACCTACACTGTACGTCTTGAATGTGATAACAATCGAATCGATCGTGATAATAAAGAATAAATCACGGACTAAGATATATCTTAGTCCGTGGAATAAATATTACACATTATTAGTTTAGTTATGCATTATCATAGAAAAGTAATAATATGCATTATATTTAGAGTACATTGAACAATACAGTATATTGAACGAATCACACGAACGGGTCATGTTGGTTCCTATGCACCCCCACCCTAGACTTGCCACTGCTGAAAAAACGAACGAATAATATTGAACGAATCACACGAACGGGTCTTTTGGAAGACCCGATCCGAATGAACCGGATCGTTTAATTGACCCGTTTTGCACATCTCTACAATACTGTCGGATCTCGGATATCTGTGTATTTGTCAGAAAGACGTAATGGGCCGTCAAAACGTTATCGGCAATTGACGCAGGTCATTACGATCGTTATTGCACGTTCTAGAATATTCGATACCCCGTCCTAAAACTGAACTTTATTATCGATTACTTATACCTTTAATCTTTAGGTATCAGATATCTTGCTCATAAACATATTTATAGATATTAAAAATCTACCTAATGTAAAACTGTGCAGCAGAAAAACATAAAAGTTGTTATAATCGAATTTTAGTATCATACATAACATTTACCAATTAGTTTGGTGAATATCGCAAATAACCGGCGAATATCGAAAATCTCCATTTTATATATATATTTACGATAATTACCGGTTAATTACGTAATTTTCATGTTTTACATCATTTACCGTAACATATATATATATATTTGTCTATCTAAATAGGAAAGAATTTTCATAGGATGTAAAAAATACAAAAACAATTTGTCTGTAAGTTTCCATAAAATAAAATAGTCTGTAAAAGAGTAAAATATTCTTAATATTTAAAAGAGAAATATAATTGCAGTATTTGTTTGAATGTCTGCCAAATCTAATTAAAAAAATAAATACTGCGAGTAATACTAACAGTTTGAATACTCATCGGTGCATGGCAAAATTACGTGGGTACAAATTACACAAATTAAACAGGTTAATGAAGTACATGTTTAAAGAATTTTACTTGATGAATGCCGTTTACACATAAACCAATGTTATCCAGATGTTTTGATAATGACCCAACCGTCAACGCGTTTGATTAAATCATTTATTTTGGGAATATTTTCAACATATCTATAGAGGTCGGTATGTTGGCATTTTTACTAAAATAACGATGAAATCAGATTACGAAACCTGTACTATAGTATGCCTCTATGTAAACGTGTATTATGTTCAACATTTCAAACACGAACTCTTTTAGTGAAACATTTATAAATACACAATTAAAATAAAAAGAGTACTATTTACAATTTTCGTAATGCAACATTCTATGATACGTAATAAATCAGATAATTTTACTTATTTAATTAATGCAATGCAATTTTATAGAAATAAACTCTTTTAAAACTACATTCATTTTAATAAAATATCTAAACACGCGCACAAATTTAAAAAAATGTATAAATTGTATATTTATAATTCTATTTAAAATAAGTTTAACTAACTGTTAACATATTTAAGTGTCTGTGTTTAATACACCGAAAGAGCGAAAAACTAATATATTTCTTTATATTCTATAATATATTTGTTTTGCCTATATGTGTAATTTATATACTGTACAGGACTGTACTTTTCTTATACAGCAATACAGCATATATTTACAAGCATACCACCTACCAATTTAAACAAAATTATTTCATTTTTATTCACCAACTAAATGTAATATAATGTAAGTATTTTTTAACTTAGATAATATGGCGATGTATGAAATATCAAATAAAAGTGACGACCAGGCGGTGTTTCTTTTTTAATTTAAATTAAATAGTATACAGTACTCAGTAGTGTATAAATTAAAATTCAATATTCTTAAATAATAATTATTAAAGTTACAAACAAAACATCGCCGAGTGATGCAGGTATTCACTTTTTAGAAATCCTTAATCTTGCATATTAATTATTTTTAAATATCTAATATATCGTATTAAATAACATGCAATAAATAACATTTTTCGTTTTCATACAGCAGAATATTAATCTATTTCCAGGTACATTGCGTGTGGGCACGTGTTATCGCATGTCCCCCACCCCCCATGTCGGGATTTATGGGCCTTTTCGTTGCCAGCGAATTTTTCCAACATGTCGTGAAATCTATGCTACGAAAGGGGGAGAAGGAGATCCGATGTTCCATGGTAATATTATTATGGAGGCGTTGAAACTAGGATTATTCATCGAACTTTAAAATAGACCACCAGAAGTGACTCGTGGGATATTCTTTCACGCCGCTTATGTCGCATGGAACTATTCATGGATGATAAATATAACATAATATTAACATTTTTTAAAGTTTATAATATGCGAAATGTATAATCGTTATGGGTTATTTTATACTGGAAATCGTTGTGGCAATTTATTACGCTTGCTGTCAGCTCGGTGTCCAAAGCTTGATTAAAATAATATGTATTTTTAATTTCAGCGTTATTTTAATATTGAAATTATTATAAACTTATGAAATAGTTAGGTATTTTATTTTTTTGCATTTTAAGTTTATCATATTTAGTTTGATATTTTTGAGTTGAATTTTAAAAATGAGTATTATAGTTATTTTTATTAGAAAATTCATCTTATATAAAAGACTAACTTAAAGAATAAAGACTTTACTCGTAAAGCATGTTAAGTGCATTATTATTTATTGATATTTCTCGTTAAAATCTTAGTTTTAAACTTAAGTATAAGAATACATTAATAATAATGTATATAATATTATTTAGGATTTGTAGAGTTGTATTTTCTATAATGTTTTGAATTCTTTCAGACTTCAAAGCATAGATTTCACTATTGCAGATTTAATAATATAAATAATTAATACCTATTTATGTGTTATTACTGCCTTCAATATGGTTAAAAAAATTAATAAGAACTTCTTAAACACATACTTGAATATCAATCCATCTTAAATGATTTCTATTCTGAATCTTTATACTAACTGCTTTAATATTTTAATAATAAATGTAATTGAAATTATTGACTGTACGTTCAGAAGCCAATGGCTTAAATTAATAAAATTGAATCGTAATCAACTACGTTCTCAATCCTTTAAACTACTGTAAGTTATATTTTTCCCTAACTATATCGAATAAAATAAAAAAAATTTAAATTATTTGAAGCACTCACCGAAAGTTGAGATTCCAAGTCGCTCTTTTGTGCCGCCAATTTAGCTGCTCTCTCTTGGATGCTGGAAGCACTTCCCTTTTCGCCTTCCAAAGATTGAAGTAGCTGTGTCTTCTCCGCCAATAGTTTGGTGTTGAGTGCTTCGAGTTCTTTGCGAAGTTTTTCTTCACGTTCTAATGCAGTTGTGACTTTTTCTACTTCTTCTTCCAATCTCTGTTTAGAATTTTCCAAGTCTTTTAGTAACTCCATGGCGGCACTGGATTATTACTAGGCTAGCACTGGGTTATTACTAGGCTAGCACTCGAGAAGGCAAGTGATGTGTCTAATGGACCAAGTAGTGGTCGATGGTGTCGAAGAGAGCGGCTATGTGGGTGGACCAGTAACGCGAGAATATTTTTGGTGGGAGTACTATATTATGTAGAGTGCATATTTGGATGCAACATGGGTGGTGATATTTATATAAATTCTATTTAATATATTTATAATAATAGCAATTTTTTTATTTTAGGATTATATTTTTATTAATGGTTATTTGAAAACTTTTATTTTATATGAAAAATGATTAAATACTAAAAATATCAAATCCCGATGATATTATATGCTTAAATAAATACAAATTTGAAAAAAATCTATATTTAAATCAATGATATTATAAACACATTCGTTTTCAAAACTAACTATGTTGGTATACGTTACAAGATTTTTTTTATAAATACAATATAAATTAAACAAGATCTAAAAATAAAAACATTCGTCAGTTTTTTTTTAAATTGATCTGTTTTATATTAGGTTTGCTATTTTTTCATTTATTATTATAAACTACTCAAATGGGGGTAAATTTATATATGGTATTGATATTGATGATAATTTAAAGTTAATATGATCACATTTTTAGTAATATGATCATATTTTTAGTTATATGATTTACTACAACTACATAAATAATTATATATTAATATTACATGTAAACATATTTGTAGAAAAATTATTTTTAACGTTTGTATGATTCATGTTTAGGTATGAGGTTAGAAATTAGATTGGGTATACATTTTATTATTACATATGTTATACCATAAATAATTAAACATAATGTTATGTTATAAATATAAAAATATTTTAGTATAAGATAAAAGATATCTAAATTTAATCATGTTGTATTATTGAATTTCAAGGAACCTAAAAAAGATTTTTTATTTTTTGTGATATTTTAAACTTGAAATCCCGTTAAAGCGATAATAACTACGATTTATCACAAATTCCATGTAAAATAATCCGGAATTTAGGAGATTAAATGTACATGATATATATTTAAAATTCCAAAATTAAAAAGTGTAAGATACTTACTCTCAATTCATCTTCAATGTTAGCCACATTGAGTAATGGTTTGACGCGAGACCACATCTTCCACCATGGCCACGACCTCAATTTCATGTATTTCCTTAAGCTTCTCTGGATAACCAATAGAGCCAATCTGTGAAAAAAATAAAATCACTTAATAAAAAAATGTTAAAAACTTTGGTGAATCGGTTATACGATACGTTAGCAGGTTTTAACATAAAAATTAAAATAGAAATTGTAAGAATTTGTGAACATGATTTTTCTGTTCAGCCTATACAGAATATTCAGAAAGCGATATATCTACGCCATAAATAACCTGAGTATATTTTTACAAAATATCGTGGATACTATTACGATGACATAACAGCCATAACGCATAATACATTATATATATTAATAAATATACTCGCAAAATGTTTTTTTTAACGATTTATTGTTAGTATTTTCGTATTTTTATTGAGCGTTGCAAGTTTACTAACCTCTGGTCTTGTAATTTCTTGAAATCTTTTCTGGCAATATAACCACGAATGTATGACTGCAACCATCCAATGATTTTGCTTAGACGTTCATCACGTAATTCTTCCATCTGACCTAATACTCCAGCACGGAAGAATACCTATTGAATTCATCGAAAAACCCAAAGAAAATCAAGTTGGATTAGTGAACCAAAGAGAGCTGTAGAGTTCAATCTCGACAAATGACAGTCGAACAATTTTGAACGAATATTTGTAATCATAAAATGAAGTTTATAGCAGTTTGTTATATTATATTGATTATATAATTTATCACATTTAAACAAAAAATAAACATACAATCAATATATATATTGGCAATGATGAAATTAACTGAAAAACTTCATTTTATGTAGTACCTGTTTCTTTTTTCATAATTAAATATTGTAAAACTCGTCAAAGCTATGAAACAAACACTTAAAAAATGAAGCGAAATTCTAGTGTTAAATGATATCAATAGTAAAAAGCGGAATTTTTCATGCATGATAAATTTGTTTTCATAATTTTTATATCTTGGGTTATTGATTTTATCTTATAAATTTAAATTTTTGATAAAATATTTAACAAATAATGACGTTCACAATATAATGATGAAATATAAGTAAAATATATTTGAAATTAATGTTCTAAAAATATTGGACATTGACCACGACCTACATACATATGAGTCCACGAAATGAACAAACGTGTACAAAATATTTCTTAACCTGTTAGTCTATTATATCCTATTAATGGCGTAATTCCGGACTGTAAAAGTGTATTATGTATTGCAAGACGTTATAACGTTGATATTTGTTGAACATACATAAACATTTTGTAGTACTTTATGTAATATAGCCAATATACAAACTATTTTTTTTAGCAAAAATAATATTATGTTGTTTTATAGTTCGTAATAAATATCTCAAATACAAAAAAATATATCTAACAAAGTACATATCAATCCGAAACTTATTGAAAAAATAGGAATTTTTTACTAATATTACTATTACTAGGTAATATTTTTACTTTATTAGTTACTCTATTGACATTTTTAAACTTTTTTTTTGAGCATAATAATCGAATGATCCCATTTACATAATATTTAAACATATTTTACTAGAGTGTTTAATATTTTGTACCCTGAACACTATAAATAGGCATCATACAGTTGGGTTGAAAATATACACGATTTGATTAGCGTTGTTAGGTCGTACGGTCAAATCAAATAAATCGATTTTGAAACATAGACAACCTCGAAAGTTGAAAATATCATTAAATCCGACAGTTAGAATTTTCGAAACAAAGTTTATCAGCATAATATTGAAATGTTATACGTCAACAATTTGCGTATTTCATCCACTTTAAGACCAAAATTACGCCACTATATGAATGTGATGATATTATAATATATGCGTGAATCAAATTAATAATATAATGACGTCAAATAAACATATTGTCCCATAAGTATACCTTAGTGTGACCCAACCGGTATTGTTCTGGGTCGAGTTCAATTCCTTGCAAAATCGTTTTTGTCGCTTCTTCGGGCGACATTGAGTCTTTCACACCTTTTGGATACAGTATTTTGTATCTTTTGTGATGTGAGGCGCAAGGTATTTTTAAAAAATAAGCGGTGTAACATGTAAAAACCAAAAAACAAGCAAGGATAAAACAAAAAGGTATTGTTTTTTTGTTTGCATTACAAATATAAATTGGTATACAAAACGTCTAAAGGAATTGGATAATAATACGTCTACTCATTCGTAGGTTTATTCAATAGTATTATACTAGACTACGCACTACGTATATAAACTAGTAACTACAGTACTAAGGTCTAAGTGGGCGCATGCTGCCGCGGCTATTCTAATATTAGTAAAACATCGATGAGCGTCATTGAAGTAGATAAACAACTTTTTTATAAACGGCCGGCTTAACAATAAATAATCCTAGAGCCCAATATTGTATACTGCAGCGAAAACCTTCAGCAAAAAGTTGCAAGAAGTTTATGCATAGTGTGAAGCAAAATGGCATAAATTAAGAAATTTCGCAAACGAAAATTCCTATATTGGTTGTGCTTTTTAAACATGCCTTAGTGTGCCCAAGCCTGAATTTATCTGGGTCCAACCCGACGTTTTCCAAAATGACGCCAGCGCATTTCTTTGGGTCAGTCTCCTTTTCCGCCGCAGCAGGAGCTAAGATCTTGTATCTATTGATTTGTTTATCGGTTTAAATAGAAATTAATAATAATAATTATAAAAAAAAAACACATTTAAATTATAATATGTTAAATTTCCATTTTCCACTACACTGCTGTTACATCTTGTAACATATATATATCACTACATTGACGCTTAAAAAACTGCAGGGTGTATGGTGCGGAATGCTAGGTAGGTATAGGTTTGATCGTGCTGCATGCCAATAATAATTATTAATGTCAAAAAGGGTTCACTCGAGGGTATCTAAATTACTAAATTTGGGTATTCTAATGGAAAATAATGATAGTTTTCGATAACTAGCCTTTGTGTGCCCAATACGGTAACTCTCCGGATCTAATTGGATTTCTTGGAGACATTTAGCTGCTGATGTTTTAGGATCAGGTTCCGAGGCCATAGTTGCTGGCGCTAAGATCATGTATCTTTTTACCAAATAAAATTAATTAATTTTAATAATTGTATATAATAAAATCACTTTGTGTATAGGATATAGGTAGGTATGGTATATTTAATATATTTTTCCGATGGCTATATTAAATTATACTCGAAGGCAATTTATGAATTTGATGTTTACCGATTGGGAATAAACTGTTTAAAAAAATGTTTACGAATAATATATTTTTAAAATTCATAACTGAATATTATGATTGAAAAATAAAATAGATATAATAAGTGTTGTGATGCTTACCGCAATTTGAAGTCTGGGTATACCATTCTGTTGGGGAAACCTTTACGGCAAATACGGATACCTTCAAGTACACCGTTACATGTCAGCTGGTGCATTACCAAGTGAGAGTCAATCACACCTGTGAGAAAATACGATTTCACGAGTTTTTATCAATCAATTATTTATCAAATATTATTCATCAATTATGAATCATATTAAAAGAAACTTACCAGGCTGTTTCAATTCATTGGGAATAATACAACGTACGAAATGAGGTTGTGTGCTCTTCAATGTTGTCATCAAGTTGTTCAATTGTTCCTATGATACACATACGAATATTAATAACAATACCTACCTATTGAACATTGTCATAAAAACAAAAACGAACAGAGAGCACAAAAATATACGTCTTGTTATCGTAGTACAAAACACGTTAAAACATAAAATTACAGCTAAAAATCGTACTTTTTAAGTTAAAACATAAACCAAAAAAATCTTTGTTATAACATTATGTTTCTTCATAAAATTATGAAACAAAACGCTGACAGGTTTCGTGGAGCTTGAGTTTTGAGTATATACTCTCCCTCGTTTCCCTGACCAACACATTTTGTTATAAAATAAAAAGCAATATAATGTACATCATCGCATTTGAAGAACGATTTTGAACGGAGCTTTGTTTAATATTGTGTTCACGTAGACGTTTTCAATTTAAAATGTAATTAATATCAAACGAATATTGTATAATCTTGATTAAAATTTGTTATTATGGTGAAAATATTTAAGTACGGCCAAATGGTCTAAAAATAATAATAATTTTTTGAACATAGCAAAGTATTGGTTAAAATAAATAATTGATAAGCATGGAAGTTTCTCAGATTTAAAAGTGATAAAATAATGCAAAATAATGTTTTCAAAGAGGCAAATAAAACAAAATTTTGTCACGTGTTATCAGTTTTTTGAAAATTTCTGGGCAATGATTAAACAATCGTATAAACTATTTCCTTTTAGTATACTGTGTAAAATGTTCAAAATTATATAGAAAGGCCATAGATGTAAAACTTATGGAACACTCCTTTTTCTGGGTAAAGTGTTTGTACTATATTAGGTAGGTATATACATATTAAAGCTCTGCTCAGAATCACAAAAATAAAATGTTGTTATCAAAAATATAATACATTTAAAATGCAGTAGTATTTTGTTATTATAATAGCAATCGTACATAATTATTAATACTTGCATATTTTAATGCACTAATTGTATTTTTTTTTTTTTTTTTTTAGTAGGTATTTGTCTACGCGTGCAACACATTCAGATATATCCGGTTCAAACGGTATTTTGCAAATTGGCTAATTAAATAAATATTAATACTAATTCGGTTTATGCCTAAGTATAATGGTCTAAAGGGCAAAAAACAATAAACTAGTTCTAATTCTAATTCTACTTTGAGGAATACACAAAAAAAAATATGCCGAAATTGTAGAGTTCATTTTGCGTCCTTATCAAAACAACTCAATTCGTTGGTGTGATTTTTCAAAATCGGCATTTCAGTGGATTCAAAAACAAAAATCAAGGCCGATGTAATTATTATTACTAATGATATACCTTATAGGATGACGACACAGTGGCGAAACCACCACCCTTCTTTCCACGACCTCCTGTTTATTTTCACAAATATTTTAGAATTGACAATAATAATAAATATGTAGGTATAGGTACTATCGATGTAATAAATGTTGTGTTTCTCCTAAATAATTTGTGTTGTTTCTATCAATATATTATATTTTGAGTGTTGTTTAGTATTAAAATAACGTAACAAATAGTAGACAGAAGATATCGAAACAGTATTGTAAATAATTATTGTAATAACGTAATATTTGCGAAGCAGTTTTATGGTCTCACAAAAAACACGATTTTGTGTGTAACACTTTGGTAAAATTACCCTGTGTAATGTAGATACTGTCATGAAAGCTGAACCTTTTGTGCGTTTACCACCTGCATTATATAAAATCCATCAAAAATCATGATTAAGTTAATATTAACTTAAAATGTCGATGTTAATTCGTTTTTACTTGATACAGTTTCTTTAATACGACGATTCTAAATATTAATGTAGGTAAAAAAATCATACTAAAAAAATATACATCAGATACTAAATGATTTATACATTGTTGAAATTAATAATACGTTTACGTAATACTTCAAAAATGATTGTTGAAAATTTGGATTCAAGATACTACATTATAGAATATTTGATCTTGAAATATTTATAGTAGCTCAAAATAAAAAATTCACAGTAATTTACTTCATGTACTATAAGATCTAAAAAATTAATATGAAATGTGTCTGTGTATACTTGTTTGTGTGTGTGTGTGTGTGTGTGTGTGTGTGACGTATGTGTTTGTCCTGTAGTTCTGATTTAACAGTAATCATAAGTAATGTTTACAGTTTACACAATATTTAATCAAATTAATATGGTAATTATTATTAATTAATACAAGAAATATTACCTTTGCCACCAGCATCAGCTTGACCACCAGATTGACCTGGATGATCAGCGAAGATCTCTACCAACAATTTGTTTGTTCCCTTTTTGAATTGGTCAACAACGGTGTCGTTCAATGGATCCTTGTTCTTTTCTAACCAACCGGTGATGTTGTATGATACCTAAACACACATACAACACAATATTTAAGCATGGAAACGAGTAGGTATTGAAAAAAACTGTTCAATTTATTTTAATTATCTGATAACTTACCACACCGGCGTAATGGGCAAGTGCGAAATGTCCAGCTTGGCAACCTGGTTTTGGAACAGCTGGTTTTCTGAAGTTGGGTGATTTACCCAAATGGTTGGATGTCAATTTGTCTTCAAAGGTCTTATCCGTGGCTTTGGGGAACATAGATTCCTCTTCAAGGATTGACAAGATACCCATGGGCTATATTATGTAAATTTAAATAAAATTAGATACCTATAATGTGCATACAAACACAGGTTTATAATGTACACGCATTGAAAAAACTTTTTAATATATTATAAATTCGAGTTTATAGTACTAATTTTAAAAATTAAATAAGAATAATTATGTATTTAATCTCTATTAAAGTACTGTTATTATCATTTGCATAAGGTTTTAATTAACATTATTTTTTTATATTTTTGAGTGGAAAAATGTTTTAAGAAATAAGAAAAAGTTATTTTTAATATTTCAAACAAGAGTTATTTAACATCTTATAATACAAAACTTACCTAATTTTTATAAAAAAAAACTTTTACACTCTTTTGTATCATAATGTAATAGACTTATCTTAATTTAAATTTTAAGGTAGGATAATACAAGAAACAGTTTAACTATCGTTATTGAAATATGGTTGAAAACCACGTAATATTAAAATTAATTTAATATTTTTTGTTATTCATTAAAGTATAATAAAGTGATTTGAATGCGTTTAAATACATTATAAAGTATTTTTTTTTTATAAATTCACAAATAAAAACAAAATTGTATCATGTCTCGTGTTGTACAATCTGGATAAAATAAAAACATGCAAACATTCTATACTACAACTCTATTTTTCTATATGAAGATATATCTGAATATCAACATTTCTGATTACTAAATACTTATACCTGTATTACAATAGCTAAGAACTTGATGTTTTTGAACTATTCAATGACCTAATTTTGTATAAGAACTGTGTATTGGTTTCTTGACGATTCATTTTTAATTTAATTTACATTGATAATAAATAATGAAAAGTGTTTTTCCTAATATTTTTTCATACAAACCTTTTCAATAAGATCAATGCATTGTTGCAAATCCATTCCAAAGTCAATAAATGTCCATTCAATACCTTCGCGTTTGTATTCTTCTTGTTCTAATACAAACATGTGATGGTTGAAAAACTGTTGCAGTTTTTCGTTGGTGAAATTAATGCAAAGCTGTTCGAACCCGTTGAACTACATAGTACAAACGAATGGGAAAAGAAAAAAAAAACAAGCAAATACAGTTAGCATGCATGAGGTATAAGTAAGTATAAAAATACAACATTTAAACAAAAACTATAATGAGTAATCACTAATAACTACAATATTATTATACTAATTGGACGTGTCTCTCATAGCACGTTTTGGAAAACCAACTAAAATACTTATGTTATACAATTTCCTCGTTTGTCATATGGAGGATCGATCTAATTACTTTGCAGAATCTCAACTCTAACACTCAACCGCCTGCTCCAATACGGGTACCTTTTCAATAAGTTCAATACAGGCGGCTAAGTCCATTCCGAAATCGATAAAAGCCCATTCAATACCCTCACGTTGGTACTCTTCTTGTTCAAGTACAAACATGTGATGGTTGAAAAACTGTTGTAGCTTTTCATTGGTGAAGTTGATGCAAAGTTGCTCGAAACCATTGTACTTTAAATTAGGTAGCAAACAATAAACATGTTAAATGGATGTGATGTGTAAAATAAAATATTAAACTGGTCTGAATACGATGGACCGTGGAATGTATTATACGAACATAATACATAGGTAAAGTCTGTATTATTATTAGAGTGACATCATGGTAACATTAATTGGCAGGTAATAATAATAATTAATAATAATAGTATTATGACGCTACAACATATGTAAAGGGTAATAATATTACTAAGAGTTAGCTATATGTCTTAAATAGGTCTATTTTAGGTAGGTATGGTTCAAAATAGTAATATTTACTAGGTATACAAAAATATCCTTACCGACGTTTCTCGAAATATTCTCTGGTCGTAAATTGAAGTGTAACACATAACTAAAATTCTGGGGACTCAATCGAGGATTGGAAATCAAACAAAAATGCAAATAAGTCATGCTATCGGATTATATCGAAGTACCTTTTCGATCAAGTCGATACAAGCTAACAAATCCATTCCAAAATCAATGAAAGCCCAGTTGATACCCTCTTTTTTGTATTCTTCTTGTTCCAACACAAACATGTGATGGTTGAAGAATTGCTGAAGTCTTTCGTTGGTGAAATTAATACACAATTGTTCGAAACCATTGTACTGTGTTTATCAAATTCAGAATTTAAAATACTATGTAAAATATTAAGGAATAAATATGTTCATAGTAAGTAATTGTCGTCGTATTTAAACGAAAAGTACCTAATAAGAATCAAGATAAATAAAACAATCCTAACAAACTAAAATTATGATAACATTTTTATATTAAAAAATGTATGATTATCTATGGATAAACTTATTCAAACATACCTACTATAATGAGAAAGGAAAATTGAACAAAAAATGTTCCTAAAAATGTTCCTTACATAACAAGTGCATAATATGTAATTTAATACAATAATATGTGATAGGTGAATAATTTACTTTAATAATATCGATATTATTAATTGTAAATTCTAATATACCTAATTACAATTTATAATACAACAGTAGGTAACTATTGCATTTTCAATTGTAATCAAGTATATATTAAGTAGATTATACTCACGTCGAAAATTTCAAAACCAGCAATATCCAACACACCGATGAAATGTTGACGTTTTTGTTGTGTGTCCAAAGTTTCGTTACATTTTTTCACCATGAATTTGAAAAGTCTGTCAAACATACCCTTGGACATAGCACCTACTGAGTAGGCGACCTATAACAGCGCAACAATATATGGTTAGCATGTATTTTGGTAGGGAATGCAAAATAATAGTACACAGTTGATAATTCATAAGTTATACATAGGTACCGGGTGCAAGAACTTATAAAAAAGGAAAAAGCACACTTACTTGATCCTTGTTACGACCTTGTGTGACGAATTCGTTTCCTACTTTGATTCTGGGTTTCAATAAATTTTTGTACAAATCATCGCAGTCGACACCCAACAATTTTGCAACACGTGCACCTTCCTACAATCAGAGACAAAATGTGTATTTTATAAATATGAAAATTAAAAATATTATATTATGACATAATAATTACCTCAGTGCCGTCGGCTTCAGCTTGTTCCTCCCGACCACGTTGTTTGAATTTCATGCCTCCCATGTGCATGACTGAGGCGGTAATCTTATAAATGTCATTCTTTTCTTCTTCAGTGAATCCAAGCACATCGAAAGCTTGCTGTTGTTTAATAAATATAAAGAATAAAAATATACAAAATTAGCGGAGGAAAAATAATTAGAAATTCGAATTAGTATATTTCACTTTAATTGAGATACTTGAAAAAAATATAAAAATGTTAAAGTGATTCAAAAAAACACTAAAGAAATTTTAGACTTTTTTCTTGTATGTAAAAAATAAAAAATAAAAAATAAAAAATAATCTTAATAAGGAAATAATTTAGAGTAAAGGAAAAATTGAAGGTTGTCTTAGACTTGAGTCAAAAAGCAAATTTTAGTCCAAGTCGACAAGTTTGTACAATAAGCAAAATACTTACAAAAACCCTAAGCAAGGAAACACAAAAGCTTATGATAAAGCTAAATAAAAAATATATATGATGTAAACTTACCCTCACTCAATCAAAATACAAAATAAAAGTGAGGAACATATGGAAAATTTTCAAAAAATTATAATAAATCTGCTTGAAAATGAAATAAAATATAATAATATAACAAATTTAATTTACTAATGTAATGAATAATTAACTAATGTGTGTGTTAAAATAAGCTAAGCAGAGAAAGCTCCCCGAAGTATAACGAAATATTAATATTATATTTTATATTCAATTTTCAGTATGATGAAAATGAAGAAGTTTCATCAATCATTAAATGTTTTGTATACATAAATATATTATAACTGTAAAGGCATGAGACTCACATCGGTAAGTATAAATTCCTCTCCGTCATCCATTCCCGGAATAGAGATTTTTCCTTGAGATACATTGTTGTAATCATAGATGTTGTTAGATAACATACACATTTCTGCCAAATCAAGCGATTTCAGTTAAGCATGTATTGTTTAATTATATTCAACACGAAGACATTTTATATTTATACACAATATACATATTTCTAAATTATTATAAATAGTATAACATAGAATCAATATAATATTATTAAACTACTAAAACCATGTTTGTCAAAAATATATTTTTATTTTAAATACATTTTTTTTTTAATATTGTTTCGAGACAATATTTACAACAAACATAATTCCATATAGGTTTGCATGATACTATTATACGCTTGCTAACATACACAATAACATAAATTTCGGACAATACAATAAGCATTTGACGCTAAAATATTCAGTAATACAAATATCAAAATAAAACATTTACAGTAAAAATAGTCATAATATGGCAATATGGCAATATGCACCAAAAATGTAAAATGAATACCTTTTTTTTTAAATATAATGTACGGTTTTAGATGATAAACAATTTTTTATTTTCCCCTGAAAACCTATAGATCGCATTTTATTTGCTTGGTTACGCTCGTAAGATATCCATAATAATTAAAGCACATGAATAAATGATGTAATTAAAGTGAATAATGAGATTACACGAAGTACCCGCGCAGTGGCACTTACATCAGTAATTTGAAATTCTTCACCATCATTTACTCCAGGTATTCGAGTTTTACCTTGGCTAACGTAATAGAAGTCTGAGATTCGATTCTTACTCAATAAACACATTTCTGCGTGCAAAGTGCATAAAACAGTTATTAGGTATCACAAAATCATACATGTCCAAAACAAACAAAAATAAATAAAATTATGATATGCTAGTACATAATATTGTGAAGATATTTCAAGTTACATATAAGTTGTGCGATTGACTTGAGTTTTAAGACATATTATTAAGTAGTACACTGCCGATAGTCACAATAGAGTTTAGCCAAAACAATCAAGCCACTTGGTATTCAAAGATTACACATTGACGGTAGGAGAGATTCAAAAGGATATTCGTTTAGAATGCTCATTTATTATTTTATTCGTATAATAGTTTTGAATTTTCTTAAGTATTTAAAAACGTTTAGGTATTATGAGATTGAAATGAGCATACTCGAACGAAAATAGGAATAGACAGGGAAAGACTTACATCGGTAATTTTGAACTCTTCTCCGTCATCTACACCAGGTATACTAGTCTTTCCTTGGCTGACGAAATGATAATCGTTTACATTGTTGGACAGGAGACACATTTCTGGTTAAAAAAACAAACCCCATTTGTCATGCATTGGGTTTAATGAGTAAAATTGATATAAGAGATAATCTCATATATCTCATTTACTAAAAACATTCGGGTATCGGGTTCAAATCATAACTATTTCCGATACACAAAGAATAACATATTCCAGAAATTCAACACGCACAAAGAACCATTGAATATGTAACTCTTATAAAAATTATGTTTGATTTTTAAAATCGTTAAATCGATTAAAATAAATTAATAGAAAATTAAAACATGCAACTTCTGGAATAATATTCTATTGTGAAAATAGTATAATATTAAACTAAGATATTGTTCAAAAATCAAAATATCTTCCATATTCGCAATCAGTAGTGTATAAGTTTTTTTTCGTAGAAACTTAATAATTTGAATGTTAGAATTAAGTTAAAATGTCAAGAGAAAAAAAAAATGAATAATAATTTGAACAAAATGCAAAAACCATTTATACGGTACGAGTTAAAAATGGTCTGTCAAGTCAGTACTTATTATAACCTTGTACACTACGATTCGCGGTGTTTTAAAACTAATTGTTCTAATGTTAAAAATAAAAAATGTATTTACACGACTACAACAGCTAATGTCATAAAATCTGTTGGTCTGTTCTATATATAATACACTTATATCAAAAATAAAAATAAAAACTAAAAATCACACATTTGGCGGTTTGAGACTAATGTCGGTCATCAATGTATATATTATATCAAGTATAATAATATATAGTTTGGGACATATTTTTTATAGTCATATCGTATGCAAGTAGACGTTACGCCTGTACTAGTTTTGTAATGTACGGCTAGGCGGTTTATTTACATAATTGTATACACTCGTAGATTTTCTAAATAATAGATCAAAAAAAAAAAAAAATGCATCTATACTACGTCATCTACGGTTGCTAAGACGCCCAGCATTTCGACGAATTTCAGTAGGTACGAGGAGAATATACGTGAATAGTATATTATTATGGAATGAGGAATAATAAAGTTAGAGGAAGTGTAGTGAGGATAAGACCGATTTGTAGGCTCTTACGTCGGTCAATTGGAATTCTTCTCCGTCATCCATACCGGGGATAGTAGTTTTTCCCTGTGACACGTAGTGATAGTCGTGGATATCTTGACTCAGCATGCACATTTCTGTGTTCAACACACAATCAGTGTTATTCGGATTCAAAAGTGGTATGGTTAGTATCGATCGAATAGACTACGATTTCATTCGCCAACGTTTTATCGCAAATAATTTTACCTTACAATATTATTATCTATGTATTTTATTACCTCCCCGTGACATAATATTATAACCGCCGCCCCCTTTACTGTGTATGAGAGCATTAATACAATTTTAAGAATAATCATTAAATTTTTTTTTCACATTAAAGTATAAAAAATATTTTTCTTATTATAATATATATATTACCTTTTACGCCTTTCACTGATCCAGACATGATTTGGTAGAAAATATGGTAAGATCTTTCAAGAGATTGCTGAGAGATGACACGAGCTTTTTCCAATAGATCTGTAGTGGTAAAAGGTTTTAAAATTATAGATTAGATCAAATCATTTTACCAAAGTCCAATCGATATTTATGACCACGAGGTACATCGATTATAATTATGTGGCTACAGTAGGTATTTATCTTAACATGTACTTACAAGTTTCGATATCAGCTCCGGCCAATTTTCCAGAGGGACCGAAATGAATACGGATGAATTTACCCTAAGCATCACCAAAAAATATTTTATAGTATTGTGTGATATTAATATGATATTGGTATTATAGATTGTATACTTACGAAACGAGAAGAGTTGTCATTACGGACGGTCTTAGCGTTACCAAAGGCTTCCAATACCGGATTGGTTTGTACGACTTGATCTTCCAAGGAACCCTATTAAATAAATAATAACATATTGGTTAAAGTAGGTTCAAAAATTATTATTGATGTATACTTGTAAGTATTCAATTTTAATAATCACCTTCTTCTTAACACCACCAGCGGCTTCTTCTTCTTTCTTTGTGCTAGCACCAACAGTGGCGAAGTACGCAATTACCTTCTTCGTGTTTTCAGTTTTTCCAGCTCCAGATTCTCCTCTGAATAACAAAATATAAAATATAAACATAACGAGAATTCCGACATTAAACTATAATAGTTGTAACTTACGTGATCAACATAGATTGATTTTCTTTGTCTGAAAAAAAAATGAAAGAAAAAATATTGTTACGAAAATATACACTTTTACAATGGTTATCATATTCATCAGCTATATATTTTATGACACATTTGATATTATTATTGAATTATATTTGCATAGTATTTACAACTATAGTTAAATTCTAATCGATAATTCAAAATAACGCTCAATGAAATTAATTCATCTTTAATTAAACATTTAATTGTACATTATACTAACTTGTAAGCATGTTAACGTAGGCGCCGTCAGAAATGGCGAAAATGTGGGGTGGAACTTCATTCCTCCTCTTGCCTCTGTACAACTTAGCGCAACGGTTGGTGTACACGGGGAATCGTTTGTAAGGATTGATAGCAACGCAGAACAATCCGGAGTAGGTCTAAACATATTATGAATATTCTCAAAATTAATTAAAAATTACAAATATTCAATCAACGTTACAACAGACACTTGTGATAATTATGTGGGTATTCAATTTTAAAATATAATCGTTATTAGTTGTATAAATATGCAATAAATAATCCATATGATTGTCTAATTTAAAAAAAAGATATATGTATTTTCATAAATCACGTAATTATTTGTAAATGTCTCTTGTAAGAATATAAAATATACATTGTACAAAAAAAATCTAATCTAATAAAAATGTCATTCAAAACAATCTACTGACTACTACTATGATTTTTACACATCCAAGAAACCAATAAAACAAACATGTTGTAATCTCTAATATGTGAAGCCAATAGGTGTTGTTCTCTTGAACAGGGTTCACCTAGAACTGTCGATCCAATGTCATATTCGGCCGACAGTAATAGCAAAACAACGAACACACAGGATAAGTAGGTATTTTGGTTTTACTTTATAAAATAAAATATGTATATCCCGGAATATCGAGAATCGAGATAAAATAATATATTTTAATAAGGATAAAAATCAAACAGGATTTCAAAACAAGGTTTTTCGTTAATTCGGGTATTTTTGTCATTAATATAAAATCATATCCCAACAACGATGAATAATCCGATATTAATTATAAAATAATTATTGAAAGTAGAAAAAAATTACAATCTGTGTTTAATAATCAAATATGTGATATAATAGGTACGAATTAACGAAGTGTTCGCGTGAAGGGAACGTACAGTGACACTTTTTCAAGAATACAAACTCAGTGTTTGTAAAGTAAAATATTTATGAATAAATAATTTAAAGACAGTTGCTTGATTAAAAAATATTTAAAACAGTAAAATCAAAATTAATTTTTAAAAAATATACCTTATAAGTAAAGCATATTAAATTATACTTTAATTGGCTAAATTGTAATAATTATATAAGTTAAAAATGTTGGTAGATTATTTATGATTATTATATTTAAGAATGTATCTAATGTTATAAATTATAATTATTGTATTCTTGTATTTTATGAGGGTTATTTCAGGAACTGGACTATACAGGATGTTCTAAACAGGTTTCAAAATCCAAAAGCACGATGCACGTAACCTCGTTCATTGGCCACCCTAACACTTACGTAAATGAGCTTATGGTAATATCTTTCTTTCAAATTATACAATACAGACGCATCGTTCAAATATGTCAAATTTGACATATCCTCGGCTTTTTCATATTTCGGTGGGTTCACTTGGCCCACTTGGTCCTTTTTGAAATCTTTTACCTGACATACCATAGAAAATGTATATTAGTAAAATTGGAATTGGTACTTACGTAAATTAATTTGCAAAAGTATCGCTGCCTCAAGTTGTGCAACACACTGGCATCGTTCAGGTAAGTCAGATCAGCCATGTCTTCGGCTTTCTCGAATTTTGGCGGGTTCACCGGACATACATTATCTTTTTTGAACGATTTTTCCTATGCGATCCAAAATATAGTGTGTAACATTGAAATGCAACATATTTAATACACCCCAAAACTTATCTGCCTTTTACTTTCGTCCTCCATATTCTGGCATATGTAAGGTTTTATTCTCATTGATGAATTTTAGAACATTAAGTTATTAACAGTTGGAACAAAATCAAATCAATGATGATTATCTATACTGATTAATATTAACTTTATAAAAATGAATCCATAACATAATTATTTAGAATTTCCGTACATTAGAAAGATTTGAATACATCTAATTTGACTAAATTCAAATTATTTCTATTAGAAAATATTATTAGTATATCGAGATATGTATAATATGGTCATCTTAAGTTAATTTTAATCTAAATAAAACCTCGTAATCGTAGACGAAAGTGCAAAGATAACTAATATCGTAGGTAATATATAGTTATTTTTATCGTATGATAATTGTTATCAATAAAATAAAAATGTTTAAATAATTACTTATCAAAGTATATTGCAGTTAAATGTCCCCTCACCGTCCTTTAGGGTATTTTTAATATTTCAAATCTAACCTTCCGATTCATCAGTGAGAGAATTTAAAAGTATATTGTAGGTATCTACTTTGTTGCTGCAATATATTATTTACTTATTGCCACTGAATGTGATACATATACTTATATATGATACCTACTATGACACAATGTTTATCTGCATTTATACAAATTATATATTATTATACATATATATACAAATTACAAATTTGTTCATTTTATCAAAATCTACTAAGAATATTATTCCATTAAAATAAATTATAGTTATTATTTATTGTTCGTAATATAAAAAAAATATGCAGTGAAATTTGTATGAAATATTTCAAAAAATTAAATTTTAACCCTAACTATATCTATTAAAAAAAATATTAAGCATCACATTGAAATATCCAATAGATTTTACAAGATTTTAAAATTAATTTGAAACACTTACCTCTCCATTAGGCAGAGCGACGGTGACCAAATCACCCTTGGTTCCTCGGATTTCTCCCTGGAGGAAACCTTCATCCTCATCTGGCACCCAGCAAGCCTTTTTCGCATCGTAAGGTTTGGTCTGATCGATTCTCTTCTGTTCGAGCGATACGAACAAGTATGGGGTTGGATCTGGGTCATCACCTTCTTGTTTAACTACACGCGGCATTTTTGTAGTTTGAAGAGAAAAGGCAAAGAAATAATTTGTTGCACGTCGTCACACACCTCTTTTATTTATGGTGTTATTTGCGACACACCTAAAAAAATAATTCGCGGTCAATTAAATGTGTTATTGTAGGTTACACATTAAATTATAATATAGAGTTTTACTAATGTTCATTAATGCGAGTAAAGTATTGGTTAAATTCCAATAGCAAAAAAATTTAAAAATTTATACGAAGAAAAAAAAATGTTTAAGTTAAAATTGAAAAAAATTTGAAAGAAAAAATTGTCGAGCAAAAATCAAACTGCAAAACTGTTCATCGATTATTCAACGGTTCGTTTCAGCAAACCCAAACTCGACAATAATATAACCTCTCGGTGATGGACACACGGTAAAAATAACACATACACAACAGGCAAATGTTAGGTGACACGATTTTTTTTTTTAAATCGAAAAGCTCTTTATCGCATATTTGAGGTGCCTGGAGCTATACAAGGCGTGTATATTATTAGAAACTTGGGAGCCGGAGCCAAATAATGCAGACCCGGGTGGACACTATACAGACCGAAATAGATCGAACGGAAATGAACGTTAATGTTCGGTATCGGTGTTATAGACGCAATCAGCGAGAAGCGTTTAATAGTTAGTTATAGTATTTTAGAAATAGATCATAACTGCAGTATTCGAATGCATAAATAATATGCACTCAAGAATTTTAAATGTACTGCAAGATGTATAGTGTATACCCGTTAATAACGACTTGTCCAAATGTATTTGAACTTTTACGGCCCTGCAGTTTGGCTATGGTACATGTGTTACGGTTTGGTTCCTTGACACTCGAGAGATAATAAAAATTATCATCAAAGCGATGTATTGGAGCACGCGAAAATATTATTTTTTTTGTCTATAAACGATTGAAAATTTAATTCGACGGTACCTGTGACGTTGAAAAGAACCTACTACGGCGGACAGGTCGAACGAATTGTGCACGTTCACCTATTATGGCGAATGTGTCAATTTCGGTGCTCTGAACGTCGGGATCGTAAAATATTATAAATAATTAACTATTGGCCGGAGTCCAGAGTTCTCGGGGAGTATGTATGAAATACGACACGCGGCGGCCTACATTTCGCGGAGGAAGAGAAAACGAAAAAAAAATTCTATTATTAGACCAGCTCGGGCCGGCAAAAAACTTCAAACGATTTTCTCGAGGATCTTAAGTGGTTATGCGGTAAACTTACACTCGTGAATTGCGCGATTAAGAGGACGGATATAAAATGGTAAGCCGATGGTGATGGGTAAGCAGGTGCCGGTATATAGGTGTATACGATGCACGTGGATATATTACCAGGGTCTGGATGGAGAACACGGATCGATCGCAAACGAATAAATGATAAAAACAAATTTAAAAATTATACCAGAGAGGTCGATGTCCGTTGGTTATTTGGCGTACACTGCCGCGTTTGGTTAGACGGCAAACAAAACAAAACAAAATCTGCGCACAAAAACAGCCGCCGACACTATGTATATTTTATTTATGTATGATCACCGACGCGGCGAATTCGATTTTCGACGAATTAATACACGTATTACGTCGTAGCACTAAAAAAAAATAAAAAACAAAAAAAAAACAAAAAAAAAATAAAAAATAAGATCACAACTTTCACAAGAAAAGAAAAACACACACTTTGTTGAATTAATAATAATACTATTATAATATACTACTCAACAGCAGAGCACTATATATAAAATAAAGATATAATTATATTATATTATATTATAATAGATATTAATGTAAAATTATTATTTAGCGGTTAAATTATAATACAAAATTATATATTATATATATACGAACTCTAAAAGCACACTGCCAGTAGTCTTATTATTATATTATGATGATAATATTTTAATATTATTAATTATAATAATATATAGTATGTTATCTACACAACAATAAGCGAATATAGTAGTGTCCGAGGTGCGTATTATATTATATTAGATAGTACCTACTCGGCGGTTGAGACGTAGAATGAATGGGATTGTCCCGGAGTTTCAGCATGTGAAAAACCCTAGTCTCCCCACCACGGCGGACAGACACCCCTTCCACCCGCTGATCTCAACAGTTTCCACGGCGGCTGTGTTTTATTATTTTTTTCTATTTCGGTCCACGGGCGGCCGTCTGCAACGCGATCCCGGTGCCCGTCGCAAACTCCATGATTGGTCAAATGGCGGTTGTCCGCCGCGGCCATGCCACCGGGGCCGCCGGGCAGGGTCCATTTTTAGAAGGACCGCCGCCGCCACTTAGCTCGTTGCTGTCCGCCGCCGCCACACAATCCGTCATAAACGATGGACGACGAAGGGATTTCATTTCAAATCATATTACTTACCTATGTTAAAATATTACTATTATTTATTTATAATAATTAATAACAATTTTTTTTCGTTTCTAACCTTTTTTTAGGTATACTTTCGATTTCTTTCCCTTCCTTTTTTTCTTACGTGAAATCCTTGCAGTTGTCCGCACATCACATCAGCCACCACCAACGCCACCATCACCTCCACCACCAACACAACAGCATCATCACCACTACCACCACCACTATACCACTAACCTAACCACACATGCCGCACTTGAACCACGCACGCCATGACCGCGACTTGGCGCTTTAGAATGGCACTGAGTTATTCGCTTCTATTCTATAATCTGCAACACGCGTTCCATCAACCCAAAACTCGTTTTTACTTTCTGTGGGCACTGCACTTAATACAATCGACATATCCCGTTTTTGTTTTAGTATACTCAGTTATTATTTTATTATTTCATATACCTATAACCGTTTCATTAGACGTTTCTACGTTATATTATTATATACCAAATACCTATACATGCAGTACTATTATATTATACTAGCTGTTCTCAAATGATGGGTTGTATTTTGTAGGAAACGCGAAGGATCGTCTTCTATTTAATAGGTATATCACGCATTATTATTTTCTTTTGACTCTATATGACTCTTGGCCGAAATCATAATGATAATCGTGCCAGACAGTAATAACTATAATATGCAAAAACATTTAAAATATCAAAAAATAACCAACGGCCGAATGCAACATTTTCATTTTATTACTGTCTGGGACATTATTATAGGACGTAGGACGTATAGTATGTATTATTCGTATAAATAAGATCTGTATAATATATTTTAGAAGTATGATTTTTTTTTCATGACTAATTATGTTTAGGTAATCATTTTCATACAGTTTTAACTCATATGTAGGGTACAAATTATTTTTACTACCTAGTACCTACCTAAATTTTTTTTTAAAAGAGAGTATTATGTTGATATGCTAATTAATTACCTATACCAACCTATTATATGAATAACACCAAATTTAACAAGCTATTAGTCATATACGCGATCAATATAGGTACCTATTGATTCATTTTAAAATTAAAATGTACCTACCTATATAAGTATAGGTACCTACTAGTGTTTTTGTTCTGTTAGCTAAAGTTTCAACACGATATTAATATGCATCGTACAATGACATATATTGGCATATTGTATATATCTAATATTATTAAGTTTAATATGATTTATATAAGGTTTGATATAATTTATAACACATACCTATACAAGAGGATGCCACACACCCACATGTGTGGCATCCGTCTTACAATAACGTACAACATATAACATACCAAATTTTGCGTTCTGTACTACCAACTAACTTTGTGTCGATAACTTGTTTATTAAAGTAAATTTACTTATTATCAAACTTAAAGGTAAAAACGATGTTCGTGTTTGAAAGTTGGTTTCTTACGATATTTGAATTATTGAACGAGTTATGAGTATTTTAAAATTGTAATAATAATATTCTTAATTCTTTATTCTTTTTTTATATGTAGGTATAGCTCAAAAATTGAAATACCATTTAAAATCCAACTTACCTACCTACAAACACAAATATTGTTTTTATACCTCTAAAGTCTAATTATGCCCGTATGCATAGTCAATTTATGTGTCACATAAATTGACTATGCATTTTGCATACGGACATAAGTTTGTTTATAGGTCATTCACTCTAATATGAAATAACCTAACAACACAGAATAGGTTCTTCTTAATGCATATATTTGCTGTATTGTATATTTGTATACGTTTGTAAGGCGGAGAAACATACATACGTGTGGGTGATCATGTGGAGTCCTGCTCTTAACTGAATATACATTCTTTTTTTATTTTATTATTTTATTTATTTAATCATTGATTTTGATTTGATATTATGAAGTACCTAAACATGTGTTCACTCTACTCAATTAAAGCATTAAACTATGGATTACCAAATAATTTATTTTTATTTTTATTTAACTTACCTATCTTTATAATCACTTGGATAAATTAGTTCAACCAGTCGATCTCATTTAATATAATATAGAATACCTACACCAGACGTGTTTATTTTAAAAAGCTATATGTTTACATATTATAGCATCACGTATACATTTATACTCAACAAAATATCTGAAAGAATAAAAAAATGAAGTAAAATAAGTAAGTAATACATTTTATATTATTTTTCATAAGTACCTACCTATTATAACATGTTGAGTTAATAGTTGGTATCGCAATAGTCATTTTTATGTTTTTAATTATCATGTAGACTATGTAGGTATTGCATATTATATACATATTTATTTTTAATAAAACACAATTCGAACCTTTTTTCAGGTAGTAAGTACTCACAAGTTTAGGTGCTCATAGTTGAAAACTATTTATTATTGATGACATTTATATTTTTAAGTAAATATTGTTTTCCAACTAAAAACTTAACAATGCCTATTAGAATATTACATAATATACCTAATACTATAATACATTTTAAATACCAATAAGTTTGGGTTTGCTGAGAAGTGAGAATCTATAATTATGAAATGAATAAAAGAATTATACTAACGTTGGTATCTTTAACCCATTAATAGCTGTCGGTTGTATTTACGTATG